AAAAAAGTCACTCATTTATTATAGTTTATTAAAAATATTATTTAGTCTACCATATTTGTGTTTGAGGGAGTCTGTTCAAAGCTAATTCTGTCAACACACGCACACACACACACACACACACACACACACACACACACACACACACACTTTCTGTTTAACAATATGCGTTTAGAATAGAGCTGATTTCTGAGAATGATTCTGTCTCTCTGGATCAGTCATGCATTGGGGAATGGAGACCCCACACGTGCCTTCAGCTGCAGATACAGTGCGCTCTCCCCTGTGTTTCTCTTGTGTGTGTTTCTCTTGTGTGTGTTTCTCTTGTGTGTGTTGCTCTTGTGTGTGTTTCTCTTGTGTGTGTTTCTCTTGTGTGTGTTTCTCCTTTACTTAAATCACTTAAAAACGCTGCTAATGTACTTTAATGTACTTTCACACTTCTGTTCATAACTCTGTGTTTATAACACTTTAAGTAGTGAAAACATTGCAGTCATTACAGTGAAAACCACAGTGTATTCTACATGACAGCTGTTTTCCTCAGGGTTGGGTTTTCTGATTACCTAAAGAAGCAGGCCGTGATATATACTGTGTCCACGCTGGGCTCATCAGCAGCAGTCAGTTTTGCTGAGTTGATTTTTATCTTAATTATAGATATTAAATTGATTATTGATCGCTCGACAGCATCCAGGAGGGTCTGGTTCTTCAGAACTCATCCAGCAGCTGTTGTCATGGCAACAGGCGTGTGCACTCAAACCCGCTCACAGCAGCTTAGTTCATATAAACAGGATTAGATCGAGTCATTTCATGTTTCTGTAATCCAGACTACATTTGTCACGAGGTGGAACCACTTCAAGCTTTTCAGAGAGATTTCAGTGACTAACATCAACACTTTAGCTGTGCAGACTTTTAAGAAACAAATATGGAGATTTAGGATACAAACATGTACTCTGAAGAGTGCTGTCGCTGCTTTAGCACAACACCTGAGAGCGACTGAAAGTAGATTATCATACACCCACCGGCCACTTTATTAGGTACACCTGTCCATCTGCTCGTTAATGCAGATGTCTAATCAGCCAATCACATGGCAGCAGCTCACTGCATTTAGGCATGTAGACATGGTCAAGAGGATCTGCTGCAGTTCACACCGAGCATCAGAATGGGGAAGAAAGGGGATTTAAGAGACTTTAAGCGTGGCATGGTTGTTGCTGCCAGACGGGCTGCTCTGAGTATTTCAGAAACTGCTGATCTACTGGGATTTTCACGCACAACCATCTCTAGGGTTTACAGAGAATGCTCCGACAAAGAGGAAATATCCAGTGAGCGGCAGTTCTGTGGGCGCAAATGCCTTGTTGATGAGGTCAGAGGAGAATGGCCAGACTGGTTCCAGCTGATAGAAAGGCAACAGTAACTCAAATAAGCACTCGTTACAACCGAGCTCTGCAGAAGAGCATCTCTGAACACACAACACGGCCAACCTTGAGGCGGATGGGCTACAGCAGCAGAAGAGCACACCGGGTGCCGCTCCTGTCAGCTAAGAACAGGAAACTGAGGCTACAATTCACACAGACTCACCAAAACTGGACAATAGAAGATTGGAGAAACGTTGCTGCTCTGATGAGTCTCCATTTCTGCTCACACATTCAGATGCTCGACTCAACATGAAAGCATGGATCATCCTGCCTTGTATCAGCGGTTCAGGCTGGTGGTGGTGGTGTAATGGTGTGGGGGAGATTTTCTTTGGGTCCATTAGTACCAATTGAGCATCAACGCCACAGCCTACCTGAGTATTGCTGCTGACCATGTCCATCCCTTTATGAGCACAGTGTCTCCATCTTCTGATGGCTACTTCCAGCAGGATAACGCAGCATGTCATAAAGCTCAATCATCTCAGACTGGTGTCTTGAACATGACGATGAGTTCACTGTACTCAAATGGCCTCCACAGTCACCAGAGCTCAATCCAATAGAGCAGCTTTGGGATGTGGTGGAACGGGAGATTGGCATCATGGATGTGCAGCCGACAAATCTGCAGCAACTGTGTGATGCTATCATGACAACATGGAGCAAAATCTCTGAGGAATATTTCCAGCAGCTTGCTGAATCTCTGACATGAAGGATTAAGACAGTTCTTAAGGCAAAAGGGGGAACAATCCGGAACTAGTAAGGTGTACCTAATAAAGGGGCCGATGAGCATATATATATTTATATACATAAAATATGTAATAATTTAAATCATATAATTATAATAATTCTATAAATGTGCAATGGTTATGCAGAAACTATTCAAATACCAAAATGCTTTAAGTTAAATGATGTAAATAATAGCTATGGGATTAATAAACCTAAATACTGTCACATTGATAATCAGCTTTAAAGTTGCAACTAAATAAACTGCTAAATACAGCAGAGCTTGTACAAATAGCGCACAGCAAAGGTGGAACATTATTGAATATCATCATTGTCATTTTGCTCACTTGACTGTAAATTGAATATTAATGAGATGATGTCATGACACTGCTCCTGTCAGCCAATCACTGCACTGCTGGTCATGATTGAGCATGGATAGATCTGTCCTTCACAACACACTGCTTTTTTTAATCTGATCACACACTTGTTCTTGTGAAGAGCTGTATGATCTGGAGATGAGCGATGAGGATGAACAGGTCCAGGATCAGCTGATTGTTGAACTGAAGTGTAAAAGCTCCCTCAGGAGACTCCGCAGCATCAGGACCAGAGGAGCAGCAATAAACCCTCCCGCATCATTAGCTTTAATGACTGCTCTACCTGATGCTCCTCGTTCACACTGATTTATGACTGAACACGTGTGTGTGTGTGTGTGTGTGTGTGTGTGTGTGTGTGTGTGTGTGTGTGTGTGTGTGTGTGTGTGTGTGTGTGTGTGTGTGTGTGTGTGTGTGTGCGTGTGTGTGTGTGTGTGTGCACTGCAAAAAACATTTTTCTTTCTCAGTTTCTGTCTTTATTCTAATACAAACATCTAAAAACTCAAAACAAGCAGAATACTCTGACAGTGGGGGAGCAGAATACTCTTGCTTTTCATTTTGACACCAGATTATTCTGCTTGTTTTACAAAACTCTCTTCATTCTGACTCAGTATTTCTGAAATTAACACTGTATTATTGTGCTTGTCTAGAAAATGCAGACTGATTTAAGAGTTTTTAGATGTTTGTGCTAGAATGAAGACAGAAACTCTGAGTACGAGTGCTCCTGCAGTGTGTTTCAGCATGATATATCAGCCGTTATAAATAACACACTGATCCCTGAACTGTGGATATGGACATTCTAAGTATTTGCTTGAAGCATTTGTATGTGTGTGTGTGCTGGATTATGTGTGAGCTGGAATGTGAGAGAAAGTGTGTGTAAGTGTGTGTGTGTGTGTGTGTGTGTGTGTGTGTGCTGGAATGAGCCCCTCATCTGTCGATCTGGTGGTCTTTTGTCAAACTCTCTCTCTCTCTCTCTCTCTCTCTCTCTGTGTTTGCAGTGAATGGAGCTCATTAGTATGCGTCTCACACCTGTCAATCCACTTAGCCCCGCCTCTCATCATACATGAGCTGTTGTTACATGCGTGTGTGTGTGTGTGTCTGTGTGCAGAGTCTCAGCTGTGCTGTCAGCTGTTCTTGGGTCAGTTTCTGCTGCCACTCTAATGGGTTCAGACGGGTTTGGGTTGCTATGGAGCATCACAGGAGACGGGTGCAGAATGTGGACACTGTCCTGCACGGAGACACACAGAGAGCTGTGTGTGTGTGTGTGTGTGTGTGTGTGTGTGTGTGTGTGTGTGTGTGTGTGTGAGCTTCACTTCAGATGAAGATCCCACAGTTGTACTGATGAGCAGATCAGCTCCCCTGTAATACATCAGGTTCTGTCTGTATTTATTTTCACACCAGCTCATCCAAACATCAGATTCATACAAACTCTGTTTCTCTTTGACTGAGTGTTTGTTTAGAGGATGTTGTTGTGATTTCAAAACTGAAAATAGACGTGAGTAATTCCATGCAAATGTCAACCTTGCCATGAAAAAAAATCAGTTTCACCAAAATACGGAAACCGTTACTGGGTTATTTGGGTGAGCAAGTATTTGACAGTACTATAGCAATACTCAGTGCATCTGTCAGTGTTTTCATACTATTCTATTAGATTTACCAAAGTCACACAAGTGGCGATTTCACATCCGTCACATCCATAACAGAGAGACGTCACATCCATAACCACACGTTCACATATTAAATAAGATTAAACCAGTGATGTTTGTGTTCTAGAGAGCCGACTCTTCTACTTCTTGATTATTATTGTTTCTTTTGGGTTGTGCAGTTTAATTCACAGAATTTCTCCACAGTGTGTTGTGTACTGTAAACCGCAGACGTTTTCAATCATGTTCATAACACACGTTTATTTCCCTCATTTACAGCACTAAACATGTTGACAGACTGATATCTCTCTGATCTCATAACTCTGTGGTCAGCTGTTCTGGAAAACATACACAATAGTTTCAATATAATGTGAACATCTACTCTCTCTGTGACTTTATGTTCAGTTTTTACTGTAAAAGTCACGTCCAGAACTCTGGATCTGCTCTCAGATTTTTGGAGGATTTACTCCTATTACTCCAAAACCCATCAGCCGGTCACTGAGCCACAGCTGCGCAGAGCTCTCATTGGTGGAAGATAAGTGGGCGGAGCCTACAGCTATCAATCAGTCTGAGCTCCGGTGTTTTCATTAGTGAGAGTGAGTGGGCGGAGTCCAGGTCAATCAATCAGTGAAGGGGAGTGTCTTCAGCTCTGGGTAAATCACACACGTGTGTACAATATAATCATATAAGAGGCGTGTGTGTGAGTGTGTGTGTGCGCGCGCTGGATCTGCCTGCTCTTCATAATGTCAGCAGTCTGCTCTGTCTGCGTTCTCAGATCAGGAGTGATGATGAAGATCAGACTCACCTCGCAGCCACATACAGCGTCCGGTTCATGATGACGATCAGCTGGTGTCCAGTTTGTGTCGCTGTGTGTTATTCCTGCCTGGTTTGTGTCCCACGAACACTGGGTACTGTTTAGTGTCTGATGGGGAAGATGATGAACAGCACAGATTAATTCACACTGGTGCAATAATTACAGAGCTCTGAGAGATGCAGACGCTTGTTTCTTGTCTATATGTTTAAAAATTCTTAAATCCAGGAGCATTTTCTAGACAAGTGTTGTCATACAGTGTTGTTTTCAGAAATAATCAGTGGGTTTCTCCTTAAAACAAGCCGAATAATCTGATGTCCAAGTTAAAACACTCACTTCATTTTGACTCATTGTTTCTAAAAGGCCATATATTGTGCTTGTCTAGAAAACTGCTTCTTGAATTTGGAGATATTTGGACTAGAAACAAGACTAAAACTCTAGGTAAGTAACATGTTTTTGCAGACTCACAGTTTCCATGTGCGATGCTGATGGGCTCGGTGTCTTCTGGGAAAGCGGCTCCAGCCGTCTGCAGCAGCGTCAGGTACAGCAGCAGGGCCTGCGCTCGCATCTTTACTGTCCCGCACGATCTCTTCTTAACTTCAGCCTGCAGGAGGATCAGACAGCCAATCAGAAAATGCTCAGAGGGAAAACAGCCAATCAGAGACTCTCAGAGGGGGAAAACAGCCAATCAGAGGATGTTCAGGAGATAAACGGGCAATCAGAGAATACTCAGGTGAGAAACAGCTAATCAGGAAACGTTCAGGGGGAAAGCGGCCTATTAGAGAATGCTCAGGAAAAAACGGCCAATCAGAGCACTCTCAGGGGCAAAACAGCCAATCAGAGGACGCTCTGGAGTTAAACAGGCAGTAAGAGAATGTTCAGGGAGAAAACAGACAATGAGGGAATGTTCAAGAGGAAACAGCAAATCAGAGCACTCTCAGGAGGAAAACAGCCAATCAGAGCACTCTCAGGGGGAAAACAGCCAATCAGAGGACGCTCTGGAGACCAATGGGCAATAAGAGAACGCTCAGGTAGAAAACCGCCAATGAGGGAATGCTCAGGGGGAAAACAGCTAATCAGAGAACGCTCAGCTGGTAAACAGCCAATCAGAACGCTCAGTGGGGAAACAGCTAATCAGAGAACGCTCTGGGGGGAAATGGCCAATCAGAGAACGCTCTGGGGGAAATGGCCAATCAGAGAATGCTCAGGGGGGACACAGCCAATTGGAGAATGCTCAGGAGAAAACGGCCAATCAGAGCACTCTCAGGGAAAAAACAGCCAATAAGGGGCCACTCTGGAGCTAAACATTTATTATGAGAATGATCAGGGGAAAAACAGCCAATTGGAGAGTGTTCAGGAGGAAAACCTCGACCAATCAGTGGACGTTCAGACGTTCATGAATTAAAGAATGTGTGAACTCTGTCCAC